TTTTTTTTTTTTTTTTTTTTTTTTTTTTTAACGTTGGTCCCTAATACTTTTTCTACCTTTCTCTTTTCCTCCTCTATTTCTCAATCTTCTTCACTCTTTTGTTTCTCGGATTTCTTTCTTTGCTCTTCTTTTTCTTTTTTTTGTTTTTTTTGTTTCTTCTCATTTTCCTTCAAAATCAAAAGTATTCTCTTACATCTTAAAATTCTGCTTTCTTTCATTTTCTATCGTAAAATGCACGACGGAAAAAAAAACAGATCAATATTTTTACATTTAACACACTCTTATTATTATTATTTATTATTATTGTTTTTTTTTTTTTCACATTTTATTTTTCTTTTTCATTATTTTTTGTTTCTTCGTATTCATTATTGTTCTCAATTTTTCTCTATTAGGATTAATATAATATGTAATATGTAAGTATGTGTGTATATAAGAGAACCTTCTTGGTAATTCTACGTATCGTTTCGTCATTTTCTTCTTCTTTCTCTTGCATTTTTTATTTTGTTAGATTATGTTTCGTGGCCCCAATGTTTATACAAATGAAAAAAGGACTCTTTATCTATAGTGCTGCTTCGCTCGATGTAAATTTTCGAAAAAATGTATCTAACTTTTTGTTTTGTTTTGTTTTGTTTTCTCTTTGGCAGAACACTCGAGAGACGAGTACAAGCTGCTTCTTCTTCTTCTTCTTAGTTCTGCCGAATGTATGAAATTCGATTGAAAAATCTGCGAATTTTTTTTTTTTATCAAATGAACGTGAAATTATTTTTACGCATTTAATCATTTTTTTTTTTTGCATTCTTCGTCGCTCCTTTCATTTAATATTATTCTCAAAATTTTTATTCTTTTTGCCGTGTGATCGTTATTTATAAACAATACTTTTTGATTACCATAAACCATGAATATTAACTCTTATTTTTCTTTTTTTATAACTTTCACTCCCTCCCATTTGCTCTTTCTTTTTTTTTTACTCGTTCTCTCTCTCTCTCTCTCTCTCTCTTTCTCTCTTTTTTCATCTATGGAATGTATTAATATATGGAAGATTAGTTGTAGATCCGTTTTCAAGTTACAGTGAATTATAGTCAATTATTTTTGCAATTACCTTTATTATTTATTAAAATAAAAAAAAAAAACAAAAAATTTTCAATTGAATATGTAAAAAGTATACAAACATAATTTAGATTAAAAATTTCGTTAGGTTAAAAAATATTTTTTTTTTTTTTTTTTAGAAAAACGAAGAAAAAATTTCAGACGATAAAGTATACAAATTCTCGCGTTGTTGTTTTTTTTTAGTTTTTCTTTCGTAAAATTTGATCAATCAAGAATAGACAAAACATTATTAAAATAATTATAGATTAATGACGATGATCGATCGATTGTTCGAGTAATAACAAAGTTGCAGTATAAAAAAAAGAGAAGTTTTTTTTTTATATAAACATTTATAGGTAATATGAACGGATGGATGATATATATATATTCGTTGTACCGAAAACGGAATCTACTTTCGCTGGGACTCAGTTGTGTGTGTGTGTGCAACAACATCGACAAAGCGAAAGAGCGCATTCGATACTAAACTCAATAAATACATCTGATCGGTGAATGTGCTCTGTCGCTGATATATTTACCTTCCATTTTTCACTGTTTTTCTAGTTTTCTTTCATTTTTTTTTCTTTTTTCTTTTTTTTTTTTTTTTTTAAATTCTTTCTTTCTCACGCTCTCTTACATTCCTTTATTCTTTCACTAATTTCACTCTCTTTCTTGTTCTTATACTCTCTTTCACTCTTTTCATATTATCATCTTTCATTAACTTCCGTTCTATTTTTCACACTCATACTATCCTTTTTAGTCCTTTTTTTTTTTTCTTTCTTTCTTTCTTTTATATCTCTCATTCTTTATCATCGTTATTAACTACTATCATCATCATGAAATGTATCTATGTATATAAGATAATCCTTAAATTTACTTCGCTAAACTTTGCAAACTGAGAATCTTGAATTTTATTTTGTCTAAGTCGTAGAATTATTTACAATGAGGGTTTCCATTGCTACAGATTGTAACAATATTTATTTAGGAGGGGTTTTCATATTTTATATTCTCTTTTCTTTCGTCCTACCCTTTCCCGTCTCATGATAATAATAATCGTTGAAGAAATTAATTATAATAATAAAAATAATAATTATAATAATAATAATAATAATTATTATAAGAAGAAGAGTAAAAATAATATTATTAATTATAATAATAAAACTAATAGTAAAAGTAATTATAATATTAATAATAATAATAATAATAATAATAATAATAATAATAATAATAATAATAATAATAATATTAAAATAATTAATGCCTTTGCGACATCGTTGGTTTATTTTGGCTCGAACGGTTCCAATGTCAAAAGGCTGCAAATTCATCATCAACAACGAAATCTACTTATGTTGATCTGTGTGTGTGTTTTTTTCTTTTTAATAATTGACTTTTTGTTAATTGTATACCGTAAAATTGCGGCATAATCGAATATGCTACCTTTAAACATTATGTCATATTAAATATATATTTATATGTATATATATGTACATATACATATACATATACATATACACATATATATTTATATATATTATTATATGTTCAATTCTCTTAACTCGGAACCTAAAATTCAAGGCGGTTTGATCATGTAAAACGTGCAAACTCGCACGTGTTTATTTTCAAGTTCATTATTCATTAATTCCAGTTTATCTAAAAAGCGAAGGCGACAAATTTTTTTTTCTACTTCTTTCTTTGATTTTCTTTTTGTTTGTTTTTTTTTTTTTTGCATGATTTTGTTGAGAAAATAACGGATACCGCGATGGACTAGGTTCGGTTAAGTAACTTTGATCATTCAATCCAATTTTCTTTTTGCCTAACATGATTTTCGTCTGTTTTTTATTTTTATTTTTATTTTTATTTTTATTTTTTTTTTTTATTAATCACTCACTCAGCATACGTTCACGTGGAAGATCAAGGGCAGCAATTTTATCCTTCGTGGAATGCTCGTCGAAGTCGGATTAGCGTCGTCGACGTGAGCACTCAACACTTTATTCATCGTCCTCAGACTTAAAACGACGTCAAACTTGTTTGGATTAAATAAATTATTTTCAGAAATACATGCGCGAGTTCAATCTGACGGATTAATTTTTAAAAATGCATTTTTCATATTTTATATAATAATTTGTCTCGTATTCTATCTTTTTATTTTTTCTTTCTTTCTTTTATTAAGCTGCAAAATAAGCGTTTGCGGATTAATCCTAATTACGGGTTCGCGTTGGGTACGGGAATTTTTAAAGTTCTTCGGGATTCTTTGGAGATAAATTTTAATGCTTAATTATAATGCAAAGTCACAAATTAAAACATTTAAATACAGAACAAAACGAAAAAATAATGTTTGAAATTGAGCTGCCGATTTCGATTGAAACATTTGTTAATGAATTGAAATAAAAAATTATTTGAATTATCTAAATGTGATAATAAGTCTATGTATTTACAAACTTTCGTGTCCCAATTGCAATAAGATCCGATTTTAAATTTGCAATATCGGGCTTTTGCACATTTATTGACAAAGAAACTACGTTAAAAAATGAGAAAAGTCAGAAAACGAATGATACTTAGACGGATTATTTGGCCGCCCCTTGATGTTCCACGCTACTAATCTTGTTCCTTTCGTTTTTTATTATTCTTATTAACGGATATGATAAAAAATTAAATTTTACTAAACGCGATTGCCTAGAAGAATAGTTGACAGCCGAAAGAGCTGCCGAAAACGCACTACGGCCGATAGTGGACGACACAATCGACCCAAGTTATCTAATCGTCATCGATTTGCGACGTAATTTACTTTTTAAATACTTAAGATCAACGATACTCTACGATTTTCATTACAATGTCTCTCTCTCTCTTTCTTTATCTTTTCATTATTCTTACGTTAATCATACTTCGTATCTTCTTCTTCCTCTCCTATCGAGAGACGTCGTGATTATCGTGAGAAACAAAATTTTACTATAGGTACTACTACCCAGTTTCGTGCATTCGTTATGAATATGCTTATGCATAAAAAATAAGTATTTCTAATGATCAAATCGTATACACCCCTACGAAGAAATTTATCAGTGTATTTAGACACACATCGTTCGATGAAGAAAGCTGTGAAAATGGAAAATCTGATAGGAATCGAATATATGAATAAATTTCAGATAGTGATCGAGAAAGTTGGAAAAAGCCTTTGAGAAAATGATCGTATCGATGAGATTCTAAAGAAAGTAACAAGGCTCAAATGGTATGATAGGAACAAAGAATAACAAGTGGAATGCAATTGCACATGTGTAGTTTCAAAAGAAACTCTGCATCTTGCTTTGTAAAATACTTAATACGACTTATGTTCTTTTTACTTCGTCACTATCCGAAAATCCTTTGATGTTATATGCGTTATTATAAGTTCGAAGTAAAGTAGGGGTGTTCGATTGTAGCGCTTATATATCAAAGACTCCTAAAGGTGAGTTTACTTTTATAGAATATCGAGGTTGAAGGCTGCTGTGGAGTCGAGCGAATTAAGCAATTCTTGAGCGCTGAAGTTTGATGTGTCTCCTGCGGGTAGATTTTCCAAAAACTCAAGACTAAAATCAGCCGCTGCCACGGAAGGATCCGTGGTTGTTGGCGGTGGTTGAGCATGCTGTTGGCTAAGTGTGCGAACTGCTTGACTCCCCGTCCCGTACTGTTGGTGCGGATGAAGAGGGGAGCCTGAAAGACGAACATAGTTATTCGTCCCAATCCGCACTCTTTTAGCATTTTTATTTCTCACTCGTAATAATAATTATCGTAATAGAACACACCAGTACCACTGTTGGAAACTTGATTAACGTTAGACGATTGTGACATCTGCATTTGTAAGGACATTTGATTATTATTCTGCTGCATCGACAAAGTTTGTTGCTGGTGTTGTTGCGAAAGAAGTTGTTGCATCTGGGCGTTATTGGCGATTCCCTGATTAGCAATGGCATTGCTTTGCGAACGTATCAGTTGTTGTTGATGTTGCATCTGTGCTGCGTTTATCTGCATACCACCAGTACCACCCATTCCAAAACCACCTAAAAAAAGAGAAAAAAAAAGGGGGATTTAATTATAATAGATATGTTGAAAAAAATACGAGAGAAATGTACGATTAAACGTAATACCGGTGTAAAGTAAACAAAATAAATGCTTACCTTGATGACTTTGTTGATTGAATTGTGATCGCATTTGAGCTTGAAATCCTTGTTGCTGATTCAACAAAACGTGTCTCCATTCTGGTAGGTTGTTACGTCCAGTAATATTATTGCCAAGACCGTCTGGAGGTCCGACACTGACGTTCGGCGGCCGTTGATTATTGGTCCTAGGATAACCCAATCGCTGGTGCATCTGATGCATACTGCTTATAGTAGCCATATTGCCGCTACTCATATACATGTTACCCCCAGCTGCGTGCAATGCCTGCTGTTGTTGTTGCTGTGCCATTTGTGGCCTCATCATCGGACCTACATTAAAAACAACAGTTTTAAATTATTATTATTATTATTTTTTTCATCCTTTATTTCAATATTTTTTTTTAACAAACTTCAAGCAAACGAAACTTATATTTGTCATAGCGTATTGTATTTTATTCGAAAGTCATAAGCCGCATTTACAAAATTGGTTGGATAGCATTTTATACGTTTTGCCTTGGATGAGATTTCACGAAACTTAGTTCCACCAGATCGATAAGAGCCTTGTGGAAGCCATGGTGGATAAGGATAGTTTCGAATGCTCTCTTTCTTGCTTCTACCTATATATGCGTCTCACTTTCCGCTATCTTCCTGAGCTACCCAAGTTAGATTCAATACAACAACGGTACTGAACTCATTTACGTCGAGCTGTTCTACTGAATGTTTAAATCAACGAAAATACTGTAATTTCAGACAATACGAACAGATTTTTGCTATTAAAGATTTACATTCCTCCTTACTTCCATAAAAATTCAGTTATCCTCTTACAAATTCCGAATACATAAATATAAAATTCAAATTTGCTAATACAATTGCTATAAAATTATGTTTGCGCGTAAAATTTGCACTGATGCAAGAAGACAACAGACAATGTAAAAGGTTTCCAATGAAATTTACGTAAGCTCTTTCTATTCGTGCTATCGCTTTGGAGATTGTTTCATGAATCTTTCTCGAATGGTTAAGGGAAAACGATTCTCATTAACTTGAGGGCGTTGAAGTGTTACGTTCTCGGGCATAAAAAGGTTGGAAAAGGATAGGAAAAAGGGAAGATTCTCGTTTGATCCCTAGGTGGAGAAAGGTAGTACTACATAATCGACTGACCAATGCCAGTTCTCTTTGGTAATAAACCACTCGCAAAGTAGTAAGAACCATCATCGTGGAAAGAGCGTTTCGAGCTTTGGCTAAGGATGAAAGAATCAATAATAGGGACGCATTCTCATTACCTTGAGTGCCTTCTAACTCTGGCTGGACGCCAGTATACACGAAAGTGACGTACGGCCGATGTACTTTTAGGGAAAAAGAAGGAGATGAAACAAGGGAAATGCAAATAAAAAAAAAAAAAAAGAAGCTAACGGTAAGCAAAAGCTATAGGAGAAGCCCAGTGGTTCTAATTCTTGTCGGTTATGCAAAAAGAAACAAAAAAAGATGCGTCCTGATGAATGCTTTCTCTTTACTACCATCTTTTATCAAGAGGAGAATGATCTTCATTCTTTCAGAAGTGCAAACATCTTAACCGGTCGTTGCTTCGTGGTTTTTTCTTTTCTTAAACGTCAAGTCATCGATATTTGAAGTCACATTATGCAACAGGTTTCTAGATTCTAAGGAAACGTTTGATGCGTCAGACTGTTAAACGCTATTCACGATCTTTGAAAGGATAATCGTTAAAAAATCGTCTAATCGTGCTAGTAAATGGTTTTCTCGATACATTCAAAGACATGATGTATTGGTAGAACTCTCGGGATTACTGTTTATATGATAAATAAAATGATAACTTACCAGAAGGTGGCATCGGTTGCTGCGTAACTCTGCGCATAGGTCCAGGATTCGGAAATCTAGCTTGTTGACTCATTCCGATGCCAGCGTGCATCATTTGTGCTTGTGCTGCGGCTTTGTATTCTGGGGGAGGTGGACGTACGGCTCCTATACCTCCTGTCATATGCTGTTGTTGTTGCATAGCCTACGATTATAAAAAGGAAACAACATCAGATGTGTACCAATCGATGATAAATTAACATGTTATATACCGTGTATGAAACGGGAAGAGAATATAAAGACGATAAAAGAAACTGTTCCCCTATCACGCTATATTTGACACGCTTTGTAAAACTTACAGGAAATACACTTCATCCGTTTCCGAAATTTCGGAATAAATTGTCGACTTGAAAGTGTCACAAATAAAAAAAAAAAAAAAAAAAAAATACAGAAAATAATACATTTAAAAGTATTAAGGATCGAGACTTTAACGGAAAGAAGAAAAAAAAAAAAAACGCTTTACGACGATGTTCCTCTGTGAAACTTTTCGATATGCATCGATGAACGGTTATCCGTGTTGTGGCTCATTGTCATCTTAGTTACTACGAAGCATTCGAATTATCATCGTTGCACAAGTTCTCGCGGATTGCATTTCCATTTCCTGGTGTTACGCCGGCGCAACGAACCTCTAGGCGAGGGAGAAACGCCAGGCAGCGGACCAAGTAAAAGAAAAACCGTACTGTGAGAGGATTGTGAGAAGAGCCAGATACGTTCTTTGCTCTTTCTCTTTCTCTTTTCTTTCTTTCTCTCTTGCTCTTTAACTCTTTTACTCTTTTTCGCGTCGTCTCTTGTCCTATATATATATATATATATATATATATATGTATATAGTCGACGGTAACGTCTTTCCATTCTCGGTCGAGCAACAACCTGTGATTAACCGAGCAACGCCCTTTTGCTCTCTCGAAGAACCGCGCCAATGGAGAACGGAGGAAGTCATCCTTAAAACGGGCACGTAGTAATTTCGCATGTGCTTTCCAATTGATTTCTACGAGAACATCGGTGACTTTTCTTTGGGTCACCTATACTCTAACTTTTTCTTCCCTTTTATTTTTTTCTTCAAGAAACAGATCGACAAATCTTTAATTAGAATATGTTTAATCTACCTTAGCAAAGTTCGAGAATTGTATTTGTCGAGAGTTCTGATTTCGCAATAGGATAATGAACGAAAGGACGAATAAATATTTTCTCCCAATCGATACGGATAATCCGTGAACGAAGTTGAGTACTTGCGAATCTACGACGATAGGGAGGAAGGGCTAGCCATTATTTTCGATCGGTTTTCGATAATGACGAACGAGTCGAGCTGATTTAGAATTACGCGCGTCCATTTAACATTCGCGGTAGCTTAAAAGTTTTCCTACTTCCGTTCGCGCATCAGTAATAATATTAAATATATAGAAGTTGTACGAAATGATTAATTAATTTTCGAAGTAAAGTTTTAATAAATACCTTATCTTGTTGAAAAAAAAATTACAGGATTATGTCTATGCTTACGATTACAGTCGTTATCATTAACGATTAATTATAAATGACATTCAATTAATATTTCCAAAGAACTTCTAACAAATGTTATAAGTTATAATTTTGTATGATCATTATTAATTATCATGATATTCAATATGACCATTTACAAAATTTTCGTAGATATTTCTAAATAGTAGAGTCGATTGATAGGTTATGTTTCTCAATTAACGATTCCCGATCGCGTGTCCACATCTGTGTATTTTTATGGCGTTTCAATAGATCTACGTACGTACGAGTAACATAAATGATAGGATAAGGACAAGAGTGAGAATGAAAGAAAGATTATAATATATATATATATATAGAATAAGAAGAGAGGGAAGAATCAAAGAGAAACTCGGTAGTTACGATCTAAGGATGACTAACCAATTGCGTGAAACGTACAATTAGTAACTGGATCATGGCTGGAATTGGCTCTCGTGTACCTTAACATTATTGAGATAATGATCGCGTTACAACTGAGTCATCTGTTAATAAACTATATGGCGAGCGTTCGCGAATGTAACGAGAGATATTATGAGTGGGTGTAAGTATGTTCGTATTGCGCTTCGATTCGTTCTAACATATAATATTTTGTCAATGGATCCGGTATCATTATTGTTTTAACTTTTAATATAGTCTATTATGCGAATTTGTCAATGATCTATCAACACATCTACACATAGACATTATTTGTCTAGATAATAATGGTAAATGAATTGTTAATATTATTTGAAAAATATTAACTACATATCTTTAATTGAGAATATGATGATTAGGTAAATTTGAGAAGAGAAACGAAAGGTGATTGGCAAGTGATACATCTACTTTCCTATTTGAATCTTTTGAAATATCTTAGAGCGTTCTAGAATAGCTTTTATTTTATTTTATTTGTATATAAGCGAATGTCAATCACCGTACATCCTCATTTCACGATTTCTTCTCGAACTATGTGCTTGTTAATAATATCTACATCATTTTAACATTTTCTCTTCATTACAAAATGAAATGTTTATTCCGTATATTTAACAAGATAATCTATTGGTAAAATTATTAAAACGTAATAATAGATATACGTTTTACTTCGTAAAATGAAGAAGATCGTTAAATCTTTAGGTCATTATTTAAGATAAATAACAGTTTGTATCGCTAAATGCTAGTAAAGAGTAAATGCAGTTGTATCAACAGAATTAAAACGTCGAGTTTAGATACAACAGATCTACTTCATTTTTCAAACGGAAAGGATCCGTTCCTTGTTCCGTCGACTACCTTCTGTTCGTCTTTAAGAAGCCACCACTGCGCAGCTATTTGTGTCGTTTCTTTCAGGATACAAAAGATACAAAAGTTGGAAAGTTTCTGTTGATACCTGTTGCACATCAGAGAAACATCGCGAGAACGGATTCAGCCGTTGCATTCGGATTTAATGTCTCGGATAATGCGAGGGTTTGCAATTTCGTGTCACGATCCTTCTCTATCGTTTAATAATAATAAAAAAAAAAAAAAAACGACGAATTATTTTTGAACAAACTAGTATGAAATTAAGGAACAAAATATTTGTCAATTATCGAATCAATTTAAGCGTAAGGGGAACAAAAATCGATGTATATAAAAGAATCATCCAAGTTACCTGGTTAGAATAAATGTTCGTCCGAGTTACCTGCTGGGCGCGCATCATCTGCTGCTGCATGATCTTGGCATGCTGATGTTGGTCCACTTGATTTTGTGGGACCTGCTGAGGATGACCGCGAGCACTGGTAGCAGCACCGGTTTGAGGAACGCTACCAGCCGCAGCAGCAGCAGCGGCAGCAGCAGCAGCTCTTTGTCTTATACTTTGCTGAGTGAAGTTAATGGTCTGTGATTGCGACACTGAGCAGTAAGTATCTGCTTGGCTGGGTCCCGATTGATTGGGTGCCTGTTGTTGACTAAAATATATGCCCTGTTGAGCAGCCACGGATACTCCAGTTTTTAAATCTCCAGTGAGTTGCATATGTTGACCCGCAGATACCTAAAATCAACAAATTATTCATTATACAATCATCGCTTTTATGTGATTTTTATGATATATTTTTTATTGTATTCCCAAGATCCCATATACTTTTTTGTATAGTCGTATTTTAAAATGATATCTCCTGTAGTCACCATTTTTCAATGTAAATGGGCATACTTTACATATCCCCATGTTTACCGTCACACAGAAGCGAAACTTTTCTATACGTCGTCTATACCAAAAATCGTAAAACAGATCCCTGCCAGAGTATAAATATTTTACGAGTATTGTGCACGTCGATAGCTCTATCCGGAATCTCATTTAAATTCCTGATCTCTTATTATTGCGCGCGCTCTTGTACACGCGATATCCTTTACGTTGCGCATGGTTCACAAGTCTAGAATAGAAGATCGGATCGCGAAGTTTCGATCGAACCTTACTGGTTGGCTCCTACCCCTTTTCTCTTTCTCCCCTCCCCCCTTTCGTTTCCGTACATCCAGCATCGCCACGGGCGGCCAAGAATTTAGTTTCTGAAAAAAAACGTTGGACAAGTGGCGACTATTGTCCTGTCTCGTTTGCCGGTATCGTAGGCAATGATACGAAATGGCTACCGTTCCCCTCTATTTCATTTGGTTGTAGAAAGACAAAAGGGGAAGAGTTCGGGGATATGCTTGAACTGCTTTAAGAATCAGAGAGAGAGAGAGAGAGAGAGAAAATGGAAGGAAAGAAACAACCCACACTCCAAGCTTTGTGTCTGCGCGGATGACCTTTACCCTGGCTGATCGAACCGCGTCGTAATCTAGTGCGAGTTTCTATCTTGTACGGTTTAATACAAACTAACGATAAAATATGCCAAGAAAATACCAATGAGAATGGTATAATCGAAACCGTGAGAATGTATTTTTACGTTTGATTTGATTGAAATATGTCTAACATTATTTACTATCTGAGCCTTCGGTAAAATAAAAATGACACGTTTTAACGTTTATAAAATCATCTTTTTGTTATTGATTATTTTTTATTTCAAGGTAGGGGTTTAAGAATCTGTATACATACTTCGTAATCTACTACATCCTTCTATTGAAGTGAATATGATTCATATCGATAAGCTATGCGTCACACAGTGACTTGTGATCAATGTTAGGAACTTAATCATACTTTTCTAATTCAATTACTGATTGATTATAAAACTTGAAATTATTCTTTGAAAAATAATACTATCTTGTCTTATATCACGTGATTATTTTGAATATGAAAGATGTTGTCAGATGTTGTATTATTTTAAATAAGAGTCCGAAATAATATGTTTAGTCATTGATTTTGAACGAATCATGATCAGAACAAAATTCATAGTGCTTCTAATCCATCTGTAAGTTAAATCAGGAGCATCAAATAATAGTAGCGTGCGCGACATTCCTCATTGACCTCGAACCACTTATCGGTTGTCTCCGCTACTCCTTTGTTCGGGCACGCATCATATGGAAATCGACGAGGTGGTACCGCAGTGGTGCGTCTTTATTATAGCAAACGACTTATGGCTACAGCGGTTGCTAAAGTGTCACAAGGTCTCGTACGAACGCATCGAGGACTTTGTATAATATATCTAATGTAAGCCACTAGTGTCAATTACGAATATCTTCGAAGATAGGCGATATATTTCGTTTGACATTACTGAACAATTTATTATAGTTATTTTTAATGATAATTAATAATTAGCAAACAACAAATTTTCCATTATCAATTTATCGAAATATAAACTATGGAATTTTTTGTTTAGAATGCAATAACATTGTAATTACAGACTAATAGTTTTTGCATGTATAACGTAATTGGTCGAGACAAAAAAAAAGAAAAAGTCATAAAAGAGATTATTCGCGTCAATTAGTTTATGTCTATCCTTGAATTTTTCTATGCAATCTAATCGATCATTTTCATTGACAAGATTTAACGAAGTATCATTATTTGGTAAGTAAACCGAATGAAGAATAAATGCGTGGAAAAGATTTGATTTTCATCTATCACTCTTTTAAACTGTCTCTCTTTCGTTTAACGTTGAAAATTTCCATGACTTTCGAGAGGGCAGTAGCACGAACATTCCAATACGCAAACGAACGCGTCCTGTCACCGTTTTCACGAAGATCTTCATTACGGTAATTAGAGAACTCCACAACCCCACGAGCTGACCTCCCGTTTCGACCACTATCTCGAATTCTCTCCAACGCGCAGTGTTATTCGTATCATTCCTATATTCAAAGTAGTAGTGGTGGTAGGCGGCGTTCCATCATTGGAATATATACACACACACACACAGATACATACATATATATATATACAAGAACTAACACATTGAAAAAGAAAAGGGAGTTACATATACACATTCTATATAATATGCGATTATGTATGAGTACATAACATGTGAGTAGCTATATAGCGAGATTTTCTTATGTAACTCTATATGCGTTTATACGTATATACATATATACAGTTATGTATGTAAAGTAATACTATGAGTGCACGACAAGGTAATGTGTACGCGCATGCGATTTATGTTTAGCCACGAAAATTTGCGCATGTGTACTAGAAAGGTACGTATACAAGGTGGATAGCGTTCGTTGTAACGCGATCGTAAGCGACACTCGCGTATGCGAGCAGCTACGCGACGTATGTTGATACGTCCGTACCATAAGTATTATAATTGATATACGTTTCCGAAAACTGATTGAAAACATTCCTATAGAATATTTCTTCGTTAAGTAAGTATAATTCATTAAATAAAAAACAATTCTATATAAAAATGAACAACAATAAACAATAAGATATTTGCAATGTTATTCATGATTCTCGAATGATGATGATGATGATACGTACTTTGCGAAATGTTATACGTACAAATGCATTCACATAGGAGAGGGCACTAACAGAAGGGTCGACGTACGCGGTGCGCGTGCGGTTTACATGTTTACTGAGGCAAGAGCCCTCCGGAAGGGCATATAGTTACAAATGTGTAGGAGAAACCTACTCGTCCGGTCACGCATAATTAGCCTAAATCACGCTGCCGTCTAGTCGGGAACTCCGTTGTGTCGCGACATCTGCGAAGCACGTGTCTCGTTAGTTCGCCCTTATATGGATTAGTTGCAGCAAGCTTTTTGGCAAAATCTACCGCTTTCATTGCAATATATCGTAAAGAAGAAAAGTAAAATTGTGTAAAGGTGTAATTCTTAATGACCAAACAACATTGGCTTTATTACATTTTAATAGGAAAAAATGTATTTTAATAGTATGCAATCATTTCATATACACATTGATAATAATATTTTCATATATAAATTCGAAATAATAATTAATTGGATTAACATGAAATAAATGTGATATAAGGTTCATAACTAGATCCCATTGAATTTTATCGATCGTGTTGAACGCTAACGCTTAATAAATTCTTACTGCAGAGTACATGTACGCGATAGGAGAGATCAATATGTTGAACGTAATTACTATCTTTGTTACTATAGAACACTAGGTGGGTCTTGCGTATATCGGCTGATCGATCCGCCTGGTAGAAACACTTTCATGAAATTTCAACCTGGTAATACGATTTCAAAGGAGTTTAAATACATCTACGAAATATTTCTACTTTAATTAACCCACTTATTTCTTCTATCATTTTCATATACAATTTAACACTAAATTTAATTATTTCAATAAATAATACATATGTATTATACAACTTTTTGTAGAAAAAAAAAAAAAAAACAAACACTTAAGACTAATTCGTATAATATAATTGAATTATTAATGGAATTGATGAAAAGATTGAACTGATACTGGACCTAGACTGAATTCAAAAGATCTTTCGTTTTCTATGAGACTGTTCTATCCATTAAACTATCCCATGGTTCTCGGTCAATTTATTTGGCATGGAGATGGCCCCGATTCATATATATTTGAAACTTTTGAAATAATCAATAATCTTATTATTATCTTATAATCGATTAATGTCAATTATTTAAACGAGTCATTATATTTAAGGTTTGGTCGAGGTTATCGACCACACGAATATATAATACATACTACACATACATATTATAGAAGAATAGAATAACGGATCTCAAAATGAAACCGATTTTCAAAGAGGGGAACGTTCTCTAATGGTAAGTCGAAACTATGGCGTCGAGTAAAATGGAGATGGAAGCTAAGCTAATGTAAGTATAAATCCCTCGTTATTAGCATATTGTCGAGGAGAGGTCCGAGTGTGGCCATCGTCGTTGTCGTCGTCGTCTTTGTCGTCTTCGTCGTCAACGACGCACACTTGGTCGCACGATATCTTGCTATTTGAACGGCTACGTGTTTGCTAGGCACGCCGCGTACAGGCGTGGAATCGTATTGTAGCTAATATCACGATGTGGTAATCGCTAATCATAGCGCTTCTACTGGAGGTGCTCATTCCCAACCAACATCCGATCGAAGCGGAAATCACGTTAACTATGACGAAGAAGTTCGTATTCTTCAGAAGACACGATATATCAATGAAATTGAATTAATTCAACGACGTTTATTGAATATTCTTTTTCTTCTTCTTCTTCTTCTTCTTGTTGTTCATTTTATTTTTATCTGTTCGTTTAAAATGTAAAATACAATGTTTCATAGTAGAATGATTTAATATTAAACGAGTTTTAATCAAATGGTCCTCCTATGATTTATTATATTCGATGATGAGTCTCTTTCAAAATTTATATCTTCAATCCTGAATCTTTGTCTCGTAATAATATTGTTATAAATATTTTTATTATGACGATAAATATAAATTTGTAGAATATAAAAAAACAAAACATAGATGATTTAGTTAGTTTTAGTAGGATAAACAGGTTTTCTTTTTGTTGTTGTTGTTGTTGTTTCTTTTTAAGGAATATGGAGAAGTTAGACGAGGTTGAAGAGAATCAGGCGGAAACTCCTGAGCTTCTAAATGCGTCTTATAATCCGGTACTGTGTAATCTTGTGAAATCGTGTGTAATAATGCGGTA